TTCCCGGTGTAGAAGATGTGGTCGAAGCGCTGCCTCAGGAGCTCCTGGGTCTCTGGGACTCCCCCGGTCACCACTGGGTACATCTCCTGGGAGACGCAGGGAGACAGCAGGGATTAATCCAGGAGGGACTCCCACTGGGACGCTGGATGCCCTCCCTGATAATCCTGGTCCTAGTGTCATTTACCAAACATCTAACCATATTCAAAATGCATTAAAAGTACGCTAAATTTGCACATATAAAATGCTCCCGGCTCTTCCCTGGACAGAGTCACAGGAGGTTGGGATGTCTTGCTGTACTGGTCCAGACACGCAGTGGACACGGCCACATGCAAAGACAGCTCACTGCACGCAGAAGCAAAGCCGACGCACAGCGAGGAGGAGGAGGAGGAGGAGGAAGGTCTTTACCCTGTCCAGGTACTGAGGAAGCAGCTCTTCCAGCAGCCTGGATGAATGCCCGCTCAACTCCGAGGGCTTTATTACAGCTGCATTACCTACAGAGAGACAGATCCACACCGCTGTCACTGGCCTCTGTGGAAGACTGAGTGAGATGAACTCTCGAGCAGGGTGAGCTTTTCTGTTTGCACCTAAGACAACTGTCTTTCTGCAACTAAAGCCTGTGATTTTTTCACACCCGTGTGTTCAACCCGAGAGAAACGAAACAGATTGAAATGAAACAGATGCCAAATGGCATGTTCCTGTCCTGTTTTGTGTCTGAAAGACGTCTGTGAGTGGCCTGTGCCTTGTGTGTTCCTATGATATGTTAAAGTCTCCCCTACATTCACTGTATGAAAGGAAAAGTGTAACTACAGTTAAAATACGCACAGTAATACAAAATAAATATAAAATAAAACCCTTTCTCTGTGCTATGCTGCCCTTCGGCTGATTGAATGAAAGATCCCTGTTTGACAATCTCTTAACCTGAGTGAAGACTGAGTTTTCTTCGAAAGCTCCCTCAGAGCTAGCCTAAACTGGCTGGAACTACAACAAGAGACCATTACCCAGATACTGGGAACCTGAGAACACGAGAGTGTGACGTCACTGACCAACGACGCACTGTGAGGGCAGGGAGACAGGCCCTGTCCCCCCGGTCTCCCAGCTTACCGGCGGCGATGGCCCCCACCAGAGGCTGGAGGGTCAGGGCAAAGGGGTAGTTCCAGGCCCCGATGATCAGCACCACCCCCAGGGGCTCGGGCTGGACGTAGACCCGGTCCATCAGGGTCAGCAAGGTCTTCTCCATGGGCTGGGGGGCTGTCCACTCCGCCAGCCTCTCCAGGGACAGCTGGATCTCGCTGTCCAGGCCCACGAGCTCAAACAGATGTGCGTTAAACTGGCTCTGCAGGCAGGCAGGCAGCAGGGGAGCAGGGGAGCAGGGGTCAGAGCAGGACCGACAGCAATACCCACATCTCAACAGGCACCGGCAGCTTAGATCAGTCTTGCAGAGGTACCAAGAGATACCCAAATACCCAAAGATACCTCAAAGTGGCAGAAGTAAGTCTAGTCTGTTACCCCTTCATTTGCTCGTCTATGGTCAATCTGTATATACCTATGCACATTTTTCACATATTTTATTGTTTTTACAGTGACTATGAGCATATTTTGCACACACCTATGTATTTATTTTTATTTATTTATTTTAGATTTATTTTGTATTACTGTACGTATTCTAATTTTTCGTCTATGCTGATATCTGTTGTTTTTTGCTCGTCTTGGGCTGGGCCGCTGTAACGCATCAATTTCCCCGTGGGATCAATAAAGTCTTATCTATCTATCTAAGTCTGCCGAGTGAGATGACAGTTCAGAGTCACAGGCATTTCTGTTTTTGATCCCTCCCAGCTTTCAACTGCAGTGCCCCATCTCCTCTGGGCGACCTCTGGAGCTCGGTGCTTTTAGACCGACGGGCTGCATCTCACCTTGCCGAGGTCGTGCTTTAGTGCAGCGGTGACCTCCGCCTCCCTCTCGGTGATCAGTCTGCGCAGCGCCTCCAGCTGACGGACTCTGTATTTCAGGGGCCGCGTCCTGCCCGAGAGGAACGCCGCGCGGGCCCGATCCACAGCCTGCACCTCCATGGGTGGCTCCGAGCCGCACGCCTCGCAGGTGCAGCCCGACCAGCAGGCGAGACGGTGTTTCAATGCCCTGATCCTCGGGGCCTCAAGGACTAGGGCCTCAGTGCACGCGATCTCTCACCTCTCAACTGACCTGGCGGCGCCCTGCGACGGTCAGGGAGAGAACATGAATCTGGGAGTTAATAAACGTTGGAATAACAAGCACAGCAAATCTGAGGGCTCTGGCTCTTGAAAATCGCGTTTGGATTCTAGGGACACGAGCAGCAGTTCTTCTCCAGTTAAAAAAGGAAAAGCCTCTTAATAGTCACTCGCAGCGCCTGGCTTAATTCCATTCAGGTGACTGGCCTCATGAGGAGTCAATGGCTCTCTGGTAATGGTGGGTGTGCAGGTATAAGCTGTTGAGCAACAGAGACCTGCTTTCGTGTGAAATAAATTCCTCTCCAGTGGGCTGCCAGCTGTGAGCTACAGACTGATATGTGTGAATAAGAGGGTCAAGCAGAGCAAAGCCGAGTTTGATTTCTGCTCCAAACCAACGGAAAGAAAGAAGGAAAAAACAAGGTTTCGGCTGTGGAGCTTCCGCAGGCTTGTGGGGGACGAGCAGGAGGGGATCCAAAGACACCCGACGGCCTGGGCAGGGAATTCCAGAAGTGCGGAAGAAGACGTCTGAAGACGAAGGGAGAGGTTTAGAGGGAAAGGTGAGGGAAGGAGCGCTCGGAGTTTTCTGTCTTTGATGTTTTCCTGGAGGAAGAATCCTTGATCCCCAGTGAAAGGACATGGTGGAATCACAGCGGGCAGAGGGAACATGGGACACTGTCGGCTCAAGGAGAAGAGTAAAAAAGAGGAAACACAGTCAGAGGTATTGATGGTATTTACGTCTCAACAAAGAACTTACTGTAGGTAAGCTAGATAGATAGACAAGACTTTATTGATCCCGAAGGGAAATTGAGGTGTTACAGCAGCCCAGGCCAAGACGAGCAAAAACAGACAGCAGAATAGATGAAAAATTAAAATACGTACAGTAATACAAAATAAATATAAAATAAATATAGGTGTGTGCAAAATATGCAAAATAATGATAATAAAATATGTGCAAAATGTGCATAGGTATATACAGATTGAGTGTCCAAAAAGTACAATAGTGCAACATGCTGTCCATAGACGAGCAGACGAGGGGCTAGCAGTCCTAGCCTAGGGCAGCGTTATACACCCTGACAGCCGGCGGGTGGAAGAACCTGCGGAAACGTTCCCTTGAACACCGTAGCTGGAGCAAGGCTGTTGCTAAAAGTGCTCCGCTGCCTAATAACAGTCCCATGTAGCGGATGAGAGAAAACTACATTTTCAATTCAGATGAATAAGATCAGAGTAGAATTCTGATGCACAGAAGTTAAAAATAAGTATACTGCACCATCAACACTGCACTAGTGTATTTAGAGGTCCGGGTGAAACTCACCTGGCAGTGGTCAGACCTGAGAGCCGTCTGCGGTCTGCTTCTCCCCGGACTGCAACCGGAGCCCAGTTTCTGAGAGAGTGGAAGGCGGGGCTTCCACAGGACAATTCTCTCCCTGTCCTGTGCCGCGGTTCCAATCACCGATCATCACACACCCAGATCGAGCACCAGGGTTTATAGCCTGTTTTCCCAGGAAAAAATTTATCTCTGGTCTAGAGATAAAAACGTGTCGAGAGTTTAAAGGTTTCCTTTTCAATTTGGAGCTTTTTTTTTGGGGGGGGGGGGGGGTTCTCACGAAAACCTCATGAGAAGTAAAAGCTCTTTAATAAAACGAAGGGCAGCAGAAAATGCTCAATCTCCTTGACCTGATGCATTTCCCGAACAGCACTGCTGCTCTGGTAGCTTACTGGATGCTGCTCCTTCGGGTTTGCTATTGCGGACATGCAGTCATTTCTGCTGTGACGCGAATCTGTATCAGGCAGCGCGCCCGACACGGGTGTACAGGGGCTGGTCACGCCCGTGGAGCGGTTGCTCAGCGGCACGCCCTCGGGATGCTGGGGTGCTCCCTCGGGCCTTGCAACCAGTCTTCGTTCAGCCTGCTTACGCAGCAAAGCTGTGTACGACCTTTGGGGGGGGAACCAGAGGAGTGCTTTCACACCTCAGGTGACATATAGAAACTAGGCTTGTGAAACGTTCTGCTGGAGCCCAGGGGTCAGGGCATGCCTGGTGCTGTCACACTGGGGGAGAGGGGGTGGCCGATTTGGCATAAAAAAAAGAAGTTTAGACATTTTTAGCAGGACATTGGAAGTAGATGTTCAACCAAACGTTTATGATGTCAAGAGATTTGCACGGTGATAACCGACGGTCATTGATGGTCCCCTTGATGTGCATCGCATTCAGAGCTTTGAGATAAATGCCTACAGCTCCAGGACCCTAATTTAAAATCTCAGGCTGAGTGGGTCTAAATTCCCCTGACAGCCGTTGAGCTGGGCAGTAGGCAGATCACAGATCTACGAGTCTGCCCTGTCCTCACGTTGCAACAGACAGGTGAACACAACCCCTACGACCCTCCTGCAAGGAAACACCGATCTAGACATTGTTATCGACAAGATTTCCTCTTGGAAAAACAGCCTTGTTTGTCTCTCAGCATTATAACACATCAGATAAACACAAAGTTTCAATAAGCAAAATGTCCCCTCTCATTAAATTCCATCCATGAAAACACAGGAGGATTAGTGTCGCTTGCTAAGAAAATGTTTCTCCGAGTACATAATTATTGCATAAGAAGAGATAAGGGTCCAAAATTAATCAACTAGTGGGAGAGGAATAATGAAACATGAAATAATACCGTTTGAAACTGCTCTCATCGACACTCTTCAAGCAAGACATCATCAAGTTATAAATAAGAACAAAAATGGTTGTATTACTTTTATTTCAATAAAATTTTAACTTCATTACAGGAAAGTAAAACGTTTCAGTACTGAGTTCATACACTTACTGTTTGTGGAGACTTAAGCTTGCGTCTCCAGTAAAGCATAAAACAATTCCTTCATTTACAGCGGACAAAAAACAATTAAACACTTACATAATTAGCAAAACATTCAACTGTCTGTAGTTCAGTTTGTGGTAATGAGATAATGTATGGATTTAATATTTATCATTAAAGATAATGTGAGTAATATTTTAACAATGTTATTCATATTATAAAGGTTAGTTATTATGAAATAAGCTAACAGTATTATCCCATTAAAATGAAACATGATAACAGTAGTCTTATTTATGCTGAATTAAAACAACTAACATTAATAAAGTGCTGAAAGCTGTGAAATGTAGTTATATTCAGCCACTTTGAAATAAAGATGCATTCAGTCAACCCTGCTGAGATCAATTTGAGAACATACATTCTGAATTCAGTAGCTAATATTGTGTCATTGTCCAAAGGATAAAAATAAAACAGTTTTGAAAGCTTTCAGAGAGAAAAAAATGCACATTAAATTAAATATTTCTTACATCACAAATATTCTAATTGCAAGTAATTTCTTTGTTTCTGGGTTGCCTTTCAATCGCACTCATGTCAATGCAATTCTGAAAGCAAGTTTGACAAATTATTTAACAGATGGAAAGCCTACACGGTCCAGCTATAATACTGAGTGGATCAGAAATCCCAATTTCACAAGTAAAGGCACATGCATTGCACTAGAGCACTAAACAACTTTCCATCACTAGCGGCAAAATCTGTATCACGTGATAGATTTGCACACTATCTCAAACTACATTATCTACACTATCTACTAAACTACTAAAAAAATCTCCTAAAAACTACACTATCTACCACTACTGTAGCGAAAACTACAACTAAGAGCAAAGGGGCATTCCAAAAGTCTGTAGTGCAAACATTAGTGTTGATTATTAGGTCGATAAACATGCTTGCAAAATTTAGGAAATGTTCAGTATCAGAAATGAGCAGTGGGATATATCTGGGTCAACTAACTTTCTTTCTTGGTTTACACAGAAAGTACTTGTGTCACCCCGTGTAAACTTCTTGGAAACTAACCGGGCAAGGATTAGAACTTGCCTCAGGCCCACAGAAATAAAGTGAAATGGACAAAGATGTAGTCATGAGACACACTCTAACAACTTCCTTCCGCTACCCATAGTGGAATTTAAAAAGCAGCACAATTGTTGCAGTTTGTGAATGGACTCGCCGCTGAGATTTCAGTCCGTTTCCATGTCACATACAGCAGCTGCAGGTCTTCAACATCAGCCTCCAAACACACACAGAGGCATTGAGTCAACTTTGGCATTGAGTCCATGCTCACTATATTAATATGATCCTTCACAATGGTCCCTAACACATAACTCCAGGGAAGACCTAATGGTAATCTAAAAAGAGTTAAAATGCAATATTAGAGCAAAATATTAAATGCTAACGGATTTTTTGCAGCAACTTAATTTCACTAATGGGCTTCAGCGTCCATTTTTACACCAACACAAAGTTTTGCACTTAAGAATAACAAACCATGTTTAACATGGAATTTGTAAGGTCTTGCTCACAGAACCTTCTCTTTTTACAGTGGTGTATGTAATGTTGAGATAACACCGAACAGTTGATTCTGGCATGAAAACTGAATAGCACAGTTACAGTCCATGTTCTTTTTTGGAGCCAGGTGTTGCAGGAAGTGATCGACACATTGGTGGAACATCAGTCTCTGTTCAGCCTTTCCGACTGCTTCCATTATTCTGAGGTAATGAAAATACAATGTTTTTTTTTTTTCAAAAACTAAAAAAGAAAAGTTGCAATTCAGAAAGCATTGCACGTCAGAAATCTACGAACAGTTCATATTGGTTGCATTGAAGGAAATCAGTAGGATTAAACAGCTAAGCTAAGAACCCTTTTCGTTTTTTCTCCACACAGACCACTGACTCCGGAGCTCACTGGTGGTGCACAGCCTAGCAAGCTGGATTAAAGCTCTTGCATGCTGCATGGTCCCTCTTGACATTCATGGTCAGTGCTCTTCTGTCGCTACAGCAGACTCACTGTACAAACCTCTGCAACACACAGGAAAAAAGCAAAACACTTTAAGATAAGATAAGATCATTTTATTGGCCATATACAATTTCTTACATTAGGAATTTGTCTTTTTGCATACCCCAGCTTGCTCTCCATGAGACACACAGACAGGGAGAGAGAAGTTTGGGGTCAGAGTGCAGGGTCAGTCCCTGGAGCAGCTGGGGT